ATCTACTATGTACAAGACAAGTCTAGAGAATTCTAGAGAACTCTATACAACTCTAGACAAGTCTAGAAAAGGCTAGACAACTCCACACTAATCTAGAGAATTCCGGAAAGTTCCATACTTGTGTAGAGAAGTCTAGAAAGCTCCAGTCCATGCAGGTTCCATGTCATCGTCTGCTGGGCGTCTGTGTGGCGCCTGCGTGGCATAGCCTCTTGGTAGCGAGGTGTGACATTACACTCTACTCATCTTTTTGGCTTAGACTGGTTCAATTGATGATACTCAAAAGTCAAAGAATTTTTTTTTTTTTTTTTTTTTTTTTCAACATCTTAGTTCTAACATGTTGAGAATTCTCACACATTTTTGTTTTCCTGTTATGTCCTCCTTTTTATCATGACCGTATCATAGTGGTATCCTCCACCTTCTTAAAGGAAATGTTCGAAGTTCAAATTCTACTAAAGACATGTATTGATTGCTGAGGTGAAAATTTTTGTTTGGACTTCCAACACATCTGCTAATAGAGTCAACTAACCACCTTTATTTTTATAGAAATATAAAAGACAACACTCCGAAAACAGATACAAGCCAAGCACGGTTTTTGTCTCGCCACTAATGACTACAACCTAGTCCCGTTCTCTCTGCCTCACAAGATTGACCTCTCAAGAGTGAAGGTTCGGGTACCCGTTAAGACATAGGAATAAAGTAGGTGTATAAATTACTTGTCAAAAAAAAAAAAAAAGATGTATTGTTACTATGAGGTCTCCTATGAGATTTCTCATGAGCTATCCCTTTTTCTTTTCTGTTTTTTTTTTCATGTATAAATTTTGAGGTACGAATACAACTACTTGAAAGAGGACTAAACAATGATTTTATAATAAAAAAATTAATTTACAGTAGATCACACAAGTCAAGTCGGTCAAAATTAATAATATAATTTAGATAAAATAAATAAATAAATTACAGTGTAATTTAGATAAGAAAAAGAGTGAAAATTTTCATTTAGACTTTCAATACTTTCGCTAATAGAGTCAATTAACCAACTCTATTTTTATAGAAATATAAAAATAGCACTCCGAAAACAGATATAAACCAAGCACGGTTTCTATCTCACCACCAATGACTGCAACCAAGTCATGTCCTCTCTACCTCACATGATTGACCTCTTAAGATTGAAGGTTCGGGTACTCGTAAAGACATAGGAATAAAGTGGGTGTATAAATTACTTATCAAGACACAAAAATAAAAAAATAAAAAAATAAAAAAAAATTAGAGCAATACTACTATGAGGTCTCCTCATGAGATTTCTCATGAGTTTTTCTTTTTTTTTTTTTTTTTTTTTTTGTCATGTTTATGTATAAATTTTGAGGCACCAATATAACTACTTGAAAGAGGACTAAACAATAATTATATAGTTAAAATTTCGTTCAAAAATTTAGTTACAGTGGATCACACAAGTCGGTCAAAATTAATAATGTAATTTAAATAAAAAAAAAAAGAGTGTAAAATTTTATTCGACTCGTGTGATCTACTATTAATAAAATTTTAAACGAAATTTTAACTATATAAACCTCATTTAGTCACTTCTAAATAGTTATGTCCTGTCTCAAAATTTGTACACAATCATAAAATAAAAATAAAAAACTCATAAAAAGTCTCATGAGGAAAACTTCCTAATAACATTACTCAAATAAAAATAAATTTCTCGCATCCCAACCGAGGATTTTTAGTTTCTTTTGTGAGGTCCTCCATAGATATGAGTTTCTTGTGTGAGATTTCATTACCCATAGGCTTTTTGCAAATAGTTAATATAGTCCTATTTCAAAATATCTTTTGTAAATAGACTTTTTAGTTAACATCAAATAGCTATCATTGCCCCTAGACTTGGATGAGTTGGCAAGGTGTTGGCTTCGCAACCACTCCGCCCAGCTTCAAGTCTTGCGACCTTTTTTATCACCCTCAATTAACCTAATACTATAACTCTGGGGCCGACTGCTTTATTTGGATGCCTTTGAGATGGCCCAAAGGGCCTGCCTAAAAAGGTTCTGGGTCATCAAAAAAATATATATATAAATAAACAAATAAATAAAATAGCTATCATTCAATGAATGGTCACCTACCCTTTTTGAATCTGACACGTATTAGGCCCACTCAATGAATGGTCACCTACCACTTTTGAAATGTTTTCTGCTATGAAGCACGGACGCTCCTCCCATGGATCCCGTATCCGTGTCGGATACTTTTCGGACACCGACACCCGTGTCCGAGGCTCGGACACGTGTCCGACACTTCTGTAAAGTGTCCAAATATTATTTTTTATTGGACACGCGTGTCCGAAGCTCGGACACACGGTCCAACACTTTTGTGAGACAAAATTTATTTTCTCTCACTCATCTCAGTCTCTCCTCTTCTTCAATTATCTCTCTTCATGAACAAGATATATATATATATATTTAAGTTACATGAACAAAACTTTGTGAAAGACTGAAAGTATATATGTTTATTCATATACATATTTAGTTCATTATAGTTATGTCTCTTCTGTATATCTTCGTTTGGAATTTGGATCAACTTTATTTTTCATTTATTTTCTGTTTTGTCTTGTCCATATTGTTCTTATAACAAAGATGAAATTATTGAAATTGATTTTGTTCTTTGTTGTTGTTTTATTTATCTGTACAAGATTCTAGTAATTATATTTTGAATATATAATTATATATATATATATAATTTTATAGGCGTATTCCCGCCGTGTCCGTGTCCTATTTTTTTGAAATTTGCCGTGTCGCCGTATCCGTATCGTATTATACCCGTGTCCCGTATCCGTGTCCGTGCTTCGTAGGTTTTCTGAATTTGAATCATCATTCACACCAGTCACATATTTTTGAGTTAGCATTTAACAGTCACATTTTTGTTTTAAGTTTGAACTTGTAACCCTTTGTTACTCTAAAAATAAGGTGGCTGAATTTCGGTTATTATATTCTCTCATCTCTTATATACATATACCAGTAAAATGGTACCTGAATTGCACGTAAGTAAAATTTAATTTAAAATTAATATTTAATAAAATAATAAAATAATTATTTTCAATCTAGTAAGAAAATTTTTCAATATTGCATAAATTCAGACATTGTTATATTTTTAAAAATTTTTGTCAAAAAACTCTATAGCAACCTCTTTTAAAACTTAAACGAACATACACCCATTAAAATGGTGACTTTATGTAATTTTCATCAACTTTACTATTGCTATGTTACTCTTCATCTAAGGGTTCAAACTTGCTCACTACCAATATTTATAAAATGATGGAAATGATAGAATTTAATAGAATGACCCCAATTTACTACCTTAAAAAAATAATAATAAATAAAATAAATAAATAAAAAATTGGACTTGGTCAACAGTACATACATGTCTAACAAGGTACAAGGCATGTTAATGAGCAGTGTAAACTCCTCCACATCCATGTGAGTATTGTACGTATCTATTATATATATTAAACGCATCCGCCTTCAACGAGCTAATTATAACTTGCATACAACTCTAAGCAGCTAAAGCCATCATGTGTGCTCCATTTTTATTCATCGTAATTTCTCTCTGCTCCTATCTTCACCATTTTCATCTTCAACACTTCTTGCAATAAGAAAGGCCCATCCCTGTTTGTGGAGAAACCAAATAAGGTTCTAATTTCACCAAACAGCGTGTTCTCCTCCGGATTTTATCTGGTGGGCAGCAACACATATTGTTTTGCAATATGGTACAGTCACAACTCAAGTTAACAAACTCAACTTCTCCTCTTGAACTATGACTCGTCCTCATCAACTATAGTATTGCTTGGATGTATCTCCTCTTGAATTATGTGTTGATGGCTGCTTCGGATTTTTTTGAAAAAAAAAAGTTGAATGTTCTCTTGATACGGAGTACTATTTTCAACTTTGGTATTACTCAACCAAATTCTATCATCATGCAAAAAATCAACTTTGGCTATTGAGCTTACACTCTACTCATCTTTTTGGCTTAGACTGGTTCAATTGATGATACTCAAAGTCAAAGATTATTATTATTATTATTTTTTTTTCAACATCTAAGTTCTAACATGGGGAGAATTCTCACAAATTTTTGTTTTCCTATTATGTCCTCCTTTTTTATCATATCTTTAGAATAGTAGCATCCTCCACCTTCCTAAAAGAAATGTTGAGAGTTCAAGTTTTACTAAAGACATGTATTGATTGTTCAGATGAAAATTTTCGTTTGGACTTCCAATACATCTGTTAATAGAGTCAACTAACCAATTCTATCTTTATAGAAATATAAAAGACAGCCCTCCAAAAACAGATACAAGCCAAACACAATTCCTGTCTCGCCACCAATGACTACAACCTAGTCCCGTCCTCTCTGCCTCACAAGATTGACCTCTCAAGAGTGAAGGCTCGAGTATTCGTGAAGACATAGGAATAGAGTGGGTGTATAAATTACTTGTCAAGACAAGACCAAAAAAAAAAAAAAAAAAAAAAAAAAAAAAAAAAAGGAGAAAAGTAATGCTACTACGAGATCTCCTCATGAGATTTCTCATAAGCTTTCCTTTTATATTTGTCATGTATAAATTTTGAGGCACGAATACAACTACTTAAAAGATGACTAAACAAAGATTTTATAGTTAAAAATTAATTTACAGTAGATCACTGTAACGTTTTCGATTTTTTGCATTTTTCTTTTTTTCGGAATTTTGTCGTCGCAAGGGAATTTTTTTTTTTTTACACGTTTTGCGTACGAGATTATGGTGGGGTCCAATTGTATTTTGTGTATTTTAATTTATATGATTATGTGGTGTTTCCTTAGTGGTGCATGTATTTTAATGTGTAGTGCAAATTGAAATGAAAAGAAAAAGGGAAAAGAAAAGAAATTGGTGGGACCCACCATTAACCACAAAGTGGTCTAGAGACCACATTTCTGCATTCTCATTCCTCTCTCCTGTAGCTTTCTTCTCTCCCGTAGCTTCCATTTGAGAAACAAACTTTGGATCTTAGTAACTTCTTCAATTCTTGGAGTTTTTAAGAGCCGTTTGAGGCAAAATGGAGAGTACGACGAGTTCTACGCGTGAGTACCATCAATTTCAGCTTTGGTGCTTCCCTTGAATTTCGAAATTCTTGATCATTTTAAGGGTTTTGTGCAATCTTGAGGTAGGGGCTTCCTAATTCACATTATTCATGCGCCTTTGTGAATTAATTTACTTGAATTGTGTTATAGCATGCTTATTTGTGTTAATTGTAGCCTAAAAATGTCTTGAATGTTTATATGTGAATATGTGAAGGCTTGTTTTGATTGCACTATTTGAAAAGCATGCTTATATTTTGAGTTATGCCTATTGTATTGTTCACATGCTATGAATGGTGTATGAAAGTATACCCTATTGTATTTTGTAATAATCCAATTATGGTTTAAATATTAGAAGCATGAGAACATGTTTACTTGTGCTGTGTTAAATTCCTCATTTTCATAATATTGAGATCATGAGACATGCATGTACACCATTGGGTTCCATGAAGGGAATAAATCGTTTTTGAAATGAAAATGGGGAGTTTTGGGAAAGAAAGTTTAATGAAAGTGTTTCGAAAAACCCGGTCACCGCGGGGATACCAAAGGGCCAGAGGTTAATATAGCCTAGAGGGGATTAGGGAGTCGCCCTAGCGTGGTTGAGCTAGTTGGGCCCCATAATGACACCGCGGGGGTATCAAGGGTCAGGGACACTAGCTAATCCTCCTCTCGTGTCACTGCGGGGTCACTAAAGGGCGGGCTGTATTAACAGTTTGAAAGCGATGATTGAATTGTGAAAATGGGGAGCGACATTGACATGCATTGCATCTCCATTGCATTTCCATTGCATCCTAGTAATTGTGTTGAGATTGATAACCATGTTGTATTCTCCCCCATGTTGCATGACCCCAACTCCTATTGGCCTATTCTTTGTTTTGGATTCACAGGGTCTCATGAGATGCGTCTTAGGCGTCACCTACTGAGCAAATTGCTCACCCCATTATATTATTATTTTTTTCAGGTCACGGCAAGGGAATGGCGGATGAAAATCCTCCGCAAGCTTGAAAGTTGTTAGAAGATATTTTTTTGCTATTTTGTATTTGGCCATTTCATGTATAATTGTAGTTTTGGGAATGTAAATAAGTTTCTATTCATGGCCATCGACAAAATGTAATTAATTTTTAATTACACTAAATCCTTTAGTGTATTTTGGTGACGTGTGGTGAATTACGTTAATAACGTTGTTATTGTTATTGAATTTATTGTTGAAATGTATTTAAAATTACACGTAAGTGTAGTGGCGTGGGTGTTTGAATTATCAAAAGTTGGTGTACGTGGGTTACGCAAGACAGTGGGAAGTGGAAGTGAAGATTTCCCAGAACCGGTCAACGTATGGCGTCCCAAACGTTGACCGGTATCTTCACAGTGGGTCATTGTTGCCTACGTTCCAAACCAGTCGATGTATGGCATCCCATACGTCGACCAGTATCATGTCCCAAACCAGTCGACGTATAGCTTCCATACGTCGACTGGTATCTCGGCAGTGAGTTTTCCCACTGTTCATAACCCAAACCAGTCGACGTATGGTGGGGACCAGTTTATGTCACTTAATTATGTGTTTAGTTTTTCCAAAATTACACTTTGGCACTAAGTGAAATTACACGTAATTATTTTATGACCCACTAAAATGCCATACTAATATTTTTAACCCCGAAAGGATTGTATTGCCCTGAACCTTATTTTATTTATTATGTGATGCGGCAAATGAATGTTATACCCTTTGAGTCTCAAATTATTGATTTGTAGTAATTTACCATTTTACCCTTTTGGACCTTGATATTTAAATTTAACGTGAAATGACCGTATTACCTTCGGATGTTTTTGGGTTGGGTAAGGACCCGTTTAATGATCCGGATCCATGAGAAGCTGAGTTGTTACAATCACACAAGTCAAATTGGTCAAAGTTAATAATATAATTTAGATAAGAAAAAGAGTGTAAATTTTTTACGGACTTGTGTAATTTACTATTAATGAATTTTTGACCAAAATTTTAATTATATAATCCTCATTTAGTCCACTTCTAAGTAGTCCTATTCCTTTTAGTCATGACAAGACCCAAAAAAAAAAAACAAAAAAAAACAAAGGATTCATAAAAAATCTTATATGAATGACCTCATAATAATATTACTAAAATAAAAATAAATTTCTTGCAACCCAACCTAGGCTCTTTAGTTTCTTTTGTGGGGGTCCTCCGTAGATACGAGTTTCTTGTGTGAGATTTTTTTTTTTTTCCGTCAAAAAAAAAAAATGGGGGTTATGGTTCTATTTCAAAATATCTTATATAAAAAGACATTTTAGTTAACATCAAATAGCTATTGAGGCCTCAATTTGAGTGAGACTAAAGACCGGCACATTGATTCTGACACCCAGTAGGCCCACTCAATGAATGGTCACCTACTATTTTTGACTCTTCATAATAAGAATCATGCCTCTCGAAAATATCTTCTGAATTTGAATCATCGTTCACACCAGTCACGTATTTTTTAGTTAGAATTTAACAGTCACACTTTTTTAAGTTTGAATTTGTAACCCTTTGTTACTCTATAAATAAGGTGGCTGAGTTCCGGTTATATTATTCTATCCTCTCTTATATATCAGTAAATTGCAAAGTGAGTAAAATTTAATTTAATTTAAAATTAATATTCAACAAAGTAATTAAATATTTATTTTGCCAACTGATAATTAAATTTTTTTTTGAAATATTCACACTGATGTATTAATTAAGATAAATAGATTACAAGATTAAATAATAATAACAATTTACAAAATAAAATAAGTAATTCGAGTTCTTCTAAACACCTTATTTTAATTGAAAAAGTAAAAACTCATAATTCATAGGTAATTTGTATTAGAGTTTTATAAAAACTTTTTTAAAAACTCTTTTTATATTAGTTAATAAATAATTTTTATATTTATAAATAATTACTGAAACTCTGTGTACTTTTAATAATAGTATATATATATATATATATATATATATATATATGATTGTCTTTATAATTAGGGGCGCACACTGTTTGGATTGGACTAGTTTCAGAATATTTTGGAACCAAATTGCTCTTAGTGGTTTCATAAAAATTAGAACCAAAGCGAACTGTGAAACTAATGGAACCGAACTGAACCATTTCAATTCCACGATTCAATTCAATTCAGAATATTTTGGTTCGGTTCAATTCCACGGTTTTAGGATTTTTTTATAATTCAATCTAATATATATATATATATATATATATATATATAATTAAAAATATATATTATATATAATATAATTTTCTATTATAATATATATTTTTATTATATATTAATTATGATATATAATTGAGTTGTTAAAAGACTAATTTTATTATTCTTTTATTTATATAAAATAAAATATATAAATATATAAAGAATTATAAAACGGTTCGATTCGGTTCGGTCTTGTAGAAATTCAAATCGTAACTTAACCATTTATAACAGTTCCATATTTTTGGAACCAAAACAAAAATTAATCGTGAAAAGACTGAACCAAACTTACAAGTCCAGTCTGATTTATCAGTTTAATTGATTTTTGTACAACCCTAATTATAATAATATCAATAGAGTAAGAGATTTTTTTAGTATTGCATAAATTCAGACATTGTTATATTTTCAAAGTGTTTTTGTCAAAGAACTCAATAGCAAACTCTTTTAAGACTTAAATGAGCATACACCCATTAAAATGGTGACTTTATGCAATTCTCATCAACATTACTATTGCTCTGTTACTCTTCATCTAAGGGTTCAAACTTACGCACTACCAATATTTATAAACTTACGCACTACCAATATTTATAAAATGATGGACATGATAGAATTTAATACAATGACCCAAATTACTACCTCAACAACCAAAAAAAAAAAAAAAATTATTGGACTTGGTCAACAGTACATACATGTCTAACAAGGTACAAGGCATGTTAATGAGCAGTGTAAACTCTTCCACATCCATGTGAGTATTGTCCGTATCTATTGTATATATTAACACATCCGCCTTCAACAGCTAATCATAACTTGCATACAACTCTAAGCAGCTAAAGCCATCATGTGTGCTCCATTTTTATTCATTGTCATTTCTCTGCTCCTATCTTCACCATTTTCATCTTCAACACTTCTTTCAATAACCAAAGGCTCATCCCTGTTTGTGGAGAAACCAAATAAGGTTCTAATTTCACCAAACGGCGTGTTCTCCTCGGGATTTTATCTGGTAGGCAACAACACATATTGCTTTGCAATATGGTACAGTCAATCATTGAATGATGGAAGTCACACAGTGGTTTGGATGGCCAATCGAGACATACCTGTTAATGGAAGACGCTCAAAGCTCTCCCTGCTAAAAACTGGTAATATTATCTTGACAGATGCTGATCGTCTTATTTGGGCGACCGACACCACGACGACTTCTTTCGTGCAGCTGGAACTTTATGATACTGGTAATCTTGCTCTTCATACTTTGGAGGGTAAAATTCTTTGGCAAAGCTTTGATTCACCAACGGATACTCTACTTCCTCTACAACCACTCACCCAAAACACAATGCTTGTTTCATCAAGAAGCCAAAGCAATTACTCTTCCGGTTTCTACAATCTCTATTTCGATGTTGACAACGTGCTCCGCCTCCAATTTGATGATCGTGAAATCTCCAGCTTTTATTGGCCTTACCCGTGGTTGCAAGCATGGGATAGTGGAAGGATCACGTACAACAACAGTAGACTTGCAGTACTCGATCCCTCTGGCCATTTCACGTCATCTGATACTTTCAAGTTCTCGGCTGCAGATTTGGGCACAGGGCCTAAGAGAAGATTGACTGTTGATGTTGATGGCAACTTTAGATTGTATAGTCTAAATGAGGGAGCTTGGGTTGTTACATGGCAAGCCATGTCCAACCCATGCACCATTCATGGCATTTGTGGGCCCAACAGTGTGTGCACTTCTCATCGTAAAGGTAGGAGATGCAATTGCATACCGGGATTCAAGATGAAAAATCACACAGATTGGTCTTATGGTTGTGAACCATATTTCAATCTCTCGTGCGATGAGGAGGCTGGTTTCATCAAACTTCCTCATCTTGATTTCTATGGCCGGGGTACCATGTACAAAAATCAAACCTTCGAGAGGTGTAAAGAGAAGTGTTCCAAGGATTGCAATTGCAAAGGGTTTCAATTCAAATATGACATATATAGTGGTTACTATCTTTGTTACACCAAGGCTCTGTTGCTCGATGGCACACAGGGAGATGTACATACCATGTACATAAAACTGCCCAAATCTAATCTCTCCTCTTATGATAAGCCCGCTCAAGAATTCCAATTAGATTGCTCGCAACAAGTTACAACACTCCTTTACAGAAATTACAAGAAGAAGCAAGAAAGCAGAACGGTGAAGTTCATGCTTTGGTTCGCCTGTGGATGTGGAGGAGTTGAGATCATTGGTTTCTTGTTTGTGCTGTATGTCTTGTATAGAAACCGTCAAGGCTCTCGTGCAACTGAGAAAGGTTACCTCCAAGTAGGAACTGGATTCAGAAAATACACATATGCTGAGCTTAAGAAGGCGACGTGCAATTTCAGCATAGAGAATGGGAGAGGAGGCAGTGGTGTTGTGTATAAAGGTACTTTGTCTGACAATAGAGTTGCAGCAATCAAGCGTCTTACGAAAGCCAATCAGGGCGAAGAAGAATTCTTAGCAGAAGTAAGCACTATTGGGAGGCTTAATCACATGAACCTGATAGAGACATGGGGTTATTGTGTGGAGGGAAAGCACAGGCTTTTGGTGTATGAATACATGGAGCATGGTTCTTTAGCAGAAAACATAACTTCCAACACACTTGATTGGAAGAAGAGGTTTGAAATTGCTTTGGGTACTGCAAAAGGCCTAGCTTATTTACATGAAGAATGCTTGGAGTGGGTTTTACACTGTGATGTAAAGCCTCAGAACATACTCTTGGACTCGAATTACGAACCCAAAGTAGCAGATTTTGGGCTGTCTAAACTCTTCAACAGAGGTAGCATTGGTAATTCTAGCTTCTCTAGGATAAGAGGAACTAGAGGTTACATGGCTCCAGAATGGGTTTATAATCTTCCCATCACATCCAAAGTTGATGTCTACAGCTATGGTGTTGTCGTGTTGGAGATGATAACCGGAAGAAGCCCGACTGGTACTGTCCATGCCATGGATGATAAT